TGTTGTCGGAAACATTGGGCGAGCATATGGGCGGCTTCACCGGACCTCACAAAGCTGTACTCGTCCTCGTGTAGCAGATACCATTCATAGTCGCTTATCGTCTTGGGCTTTTTGAGCGGGCATACAGTTATGCGCGCCATTCGATTGCGGAAGGCGGGTATACGGGACAAGTGTAGGAAGAGAGCAAGCGACGACGGCTCGAGATATAAGCGGCATTCCTGGAGGCCGTACCGAATGCTTGCGTCGAACTCGGTCCTAGCGTAGATGGCTTTGCATGTCGATCGCAGCGATCCAAAGTCTCTGTTCTTGTATGAATACTTGGTGTTGTTGGTACCCGACGCTCGTCCGAGGAAGCGACACACTCGACTGAGGAGCTCTACTGGAAGCTCGATCAAGTCCATTTTGTCTTTCCGCTGGTGATCTGATCAGAAAGTTGGCCTTATATGGTCTCCAGAGGGTGAGTCAAACGATGCTAGGTTGAGGGATTGGTTTATGTTGACCGAACGTAGAGAGCCAGAATTGCTGTAGTCCAGAGGTTAAAAGCTGCCGCTGCCTAGATGATAAAGCCTGTCCGTGCACCAACGATGAATGATTTGGTCAGACCACCAGTGAATATTGTCGATTAATCTGGAGTTGCTCTACGAGCTACGGTCATGAGAATGTAGCCTGCGCTCTCATATCTGTCTGCTAGCCGCGCACTGGTAACAGTACGCGAGCATGTATTGGAAGAATACGGCTGAACCTAGAGAAAACGCATTGTGTTCTTTGGGAGAATGTACAGAGGAATGAAGAGAGAAGGAGCACCCAAGGAGAGCGGAAGGGATGATGTCACCGCGCTAGGCCGGAAGAGAGTGTCGCTCTTTCTTCAGTTGCACTTGAGCAGGCATTTCACCCACAAACTACCCCAAACATCACCGAGACTAGATATGAAGACTTTGTTTATCGGTGCTTGTTTCGCTGGCTTCTCTTCAAGGACCCATGACCCGAAGGATGTGTCCACCCGTCTCCCGGCGCTTCTATCGACGTCAGCAGCCAGACGTCCCGCAAGTGCGCTCACGCTTGCTGAGTAGCAAACATAGAGAGATGTACCCGAGATGAAAGGTGTTAGAAGAGCGCTAGTGATTAGTTCCTACGACTTATGCGCAGAGGCAAGGAATAGATGCAAAACACTCATATCGTGATGGTAGACTCTTGGACGAAAGTGACTTTACATTAACTATGCAATCGACCGTAAAGCGCAGCTGTCAAACAGAAACATGGCCAACCATGTGGTAATGACTGTCCTGAGACCTTCTAAGGTTTTACAAATACTGCCCATCGTCCTCGACACTCCTCCCCCACTCCATCCACAGACATCGTTCAGCTCCGAGAGCTTTCCGCCTGGTGATCTTTGGGCTGAAAGCCTATCTAAGCAGCAGCAACCATCTCGCGGCGCGCGAACCTGAGGTTCCTCTTGGTGATACCGGTGGTAATGCCTTGGTACTGGTTGATGCAAACAGTAAGAGTTCCGGAAAGGGCACCTGCTTCATCCTTGAAGTCTGCGGCGCGGGCCTCGAAGGTATCAATCAACATGAAGGCAATCGTCTGCGAAAGGCTGTTAGCGAGCAGACTCAAGGAATTACGTTCGAGTTCAACAGATAGTATCGGAGCGGGCGCTAGGCGTGAAAACTACAAGAGAAGAAAGACTTACATCAACGACCTTCTCGATCTGCCTGAGTACAGCCGCAACGGGCGCACCGACGAAAGGGAGAGTACTGAACAAACCGGCCTTGCCAATGAGGATGTTGAGCAGCGCTTGATGAACTCGGACAAACTGTTTCTCGTCGTAAGCAACATGTATATCTGCGGAACAGATGGTACTCACTTCGCGGAAGGCTTCGAAGACGGCATCAGTAGAAGCGCCTGCGGGCTCTTTGGGCATGCCCTGCATCTGAGCGATGGCGGTGGTGGCGGTAGTTACAATGTCTGCGAAGCCCCTAATGATCTCGGGGAATGGTCCCTGACCGATGAGGAGCAGTTGTCCACTGATAACGGTGACGCTTTTGGCCGGCGTCTGAAGCGCCATGCTCTTCTGCGTGATCGACTCGATGTTGGTGACAACCTCAGCGGGCGTGATAGCAGCCGAGATAGGCACGGAGAAGGCCAAGGCGGCGGTGAAGAAGTTGCGGAATGAGACCATGATTGCGGTGGGAAGAAGCTGTGAAAGCGGTTGTTGGTGGTAGATGGTAGAAGTGAGGAGTGATGATTGCAGATGAAGGTGTGCGATACCTTCTTTTCATGGGAGACTGCGGTGTCTTTATACCCGACGTGCGATGTAGCCAAGCTCGAGTCAACGGAGCAAATGCTTCCCGTAGTCCTGAACCACAACTAGGTTCGCTGATCCTCCTGTACACCGCGTTGAGATGCCAATCAACCCCATAACCCAGAAGGTGGGTGATGTAGCGTACGCTACTGTCAAAAGAACAAAGTTTAATGACAAGTGAGGCTATGCACTACAACCCACTTTGTCTTGACCGAAAACACGCAGATGTTTGCATGTAGGCCTCTGAATCAGTTGACAAAACGTTCTTGGACGTTGATCCTAAAAGATCATTGATCGGAGTATGGCATGAGTTGACATGTTTTATCGCATCATATTGAAGCAGCTTTCAACTATCGTCGGTAACCACTCTGCTCTCAGTATTGTGGTTGATGTTACCTCACAGTGATTATCGACAGGGTCTACCAAACTCGTCTCTGGCAGAGAGATCTGCCATAATCCATCGCCGAGTGGGGCTTTTGCGGCTGAATCTGCACATGGCATTGCGATCATCGATTCCCACTACTCTCGTCTAATACATGATCAACAATTTACTCCCAGTGAATCAAGAGACGCCGTATTGGGTAGAGAGCACTAACCGATCTCAGGGCTAAGGGGCTCAAGTCACTTCCCAACTTGTAGGGTGAGCTCAGACTACCCCGATCGCTTCACCGCGCCAAGATTAGCCTTGCAGTAGCATAGTAGATCGCTACCTTCTGTGAACAAGGCTTCTTGTCGACGTGCCCGAGTTCAGCTGAGGTTGTTCAGTTAGTAGCTCTTTGTTGGCAAGCGGCGCCCCACTGGAAAGGGTGTAGTGTAGTAGCGGTATCTACGGGTCGGCGATCCTTCTGCGGGCGTAGCCGTCGAACATCAGTGCGATGATGCAGCCGCCCGAACATGCAAAAGCAGGCACCTACGATCGTCCAGTCAGAAATCCCAGCAACGAAGTAGGGTCGCCGAGCCTTATGCAGATCTGCTTTTTCCGTGTCCGGAGCGGCCGCAACCAATGCCAAGTCACGTGGAGGCCTTTGTTGCCCCTCGTGTAGATGGCAATCTAGTCTCATAATGTACAACGGCATGCAGGTGACTACCTGGAAAAGGGAAATGCGACATGTTCGCTGCGTGGCGCGGTCCGCCAAAAGCAACACAAAGGGTCCGGCTGATGTGTTGTTGTTTCTTTTGTCCAAGTCAGGGCTCGGAATAATGCCGAGCCCGCTGAGTCGCGGACGCTCGCCGACACTAGCCGTACAGACAGCTCCTATACTTTGGCGAGGAGCTAGTTCCTGTGCTTCTCATGGTAGCTCAACTTCGGCGACTTCGCTGCACAATCTCTGCTGATTTGTAGCGACCGGAATACTCAACACATGTCGATTAGGAAATGAGAGACATGGTATTAAGAGTGAATGTTCCGATAGGTATAAATCGGCCGATCCTTCCCAGATAGCTACGTCAGCTCAAAGTTTAGTGAGATCGTACCTTAGGCCAACACCATTAGCCGCAAAAACCACCGGTATATTGCCGGCGTACTTGATGTGATGCCAGCTTGTGCTTAACCACCAACTAATTGCAGAGGCGCATTTGCTGCGGGTATTCACTCGCGACCGTTGTGACCAACCCTGTAAGCTACCAAACTTCTAAATAGCCTCTATGAACAAAGCAACGAGAACGAAAAAGCATGTTGGCAATTTACACCAGTAGAAAGCACGATGCCGGGTGTTCCGTACTGTCTGCACTGCAATGTAACTTGCGCATGGCTAGACGAATGGCTTTGACACAGGACACTAGACTCCACATTCTGACGAAACTGGGCAGAACTCACATTGACGCCGTACTGAGTCTGGCTCAATACTCTGATTAATTCTTAATGGCTTCTTCCATGTACGAGCCAGTCTTTCATGCAGTCGGCCATACTTCAGGCCTCGAGACAGACTACAGTCACGTCCAGCAGTGAGTGGAAGACTTGCCATGAACCTCGAATACAAGTGCGTGTGCATATAGCAAGCCCGTGTGGTCCTCGAATAAGCGCTCAGACTCCAACCCCATCGTTAACGCACCAACATACGTGAAGGAAAGACCATAAACGAGACCGTCCTCATCCATGTGACGGCGCCACAATGTCACCTCAATCTTGAACTCGGCCAACGGGAATGCGATCCAGCTCTCTATCCCTCAGGTATCACGAAGCCGTGAGGCGCCTCCGCATGACAGCATCTACCATTATAGATGTTTGGTCGAGACTAAGCTCCTAGTCCTCCAAGCAGAACAGCACCTTCTACTTTCAGCCTCCCGTCCGTGTTTCTTTACTTTTTCGTTCTTTGCAATTACAGAGCGGGCTTTCGTAGCTCCTCTCGCTGCCGTCGGAGGAGTTGAACCGACTTACAAGCGCCTTGCTGTAAGACACAGAAAAGCAAACACTGACAGACGTGATGAAGGCTAGCCAAGACAACATCGCTTACCCTTAGGTCACTGCAAGACAGCCGTTAGTGAGTATCGTATACGTACGATGTTGTCACTGTTTTGAAATTGTTCGTATGTCGAGCAAGCGGTCCTACCGGAAGCCTTATTCCCAAGGTCGTTATTACATCCTATGCTCTGAGTAGAGCTTCCCCAGAATCTGAACGCCAGCATGTTACATAAACTAAATGAAACCAACGCCCCCACAACGAAGTCTGCATTAAATGTGACAGATGACCCATAGCCCTCATGCAGTCGGCAGACGTGCCAACAACGGTAGGACGTCCTTGAACCTCACTGGCTTGAGAAGGAACTCGTCGAAACCGCTATTCTTCGCTTGCTTTCGCGCTTTCTCGCTACCAAGACCCGTTAATGCGAAGATGTACGCCCGGGTACCTCTCTCATCCTCTAGAGTACCATCTAGACCATGTCTCGCAGCGTCATCGGATTGTCTTGGTATGCCTTTTTCCATCAAACCGTGTTCGATTCCACGAATCTTTGACACGGCCTGGAAGCCATCCATAACTGGCATGCTGATGTCCATGAAGATGCAGTCATAATTTGCTTTTGGGTCCTCTTGCTCAGTGGCGGTTTGATAGAGACGCACCGCTTCTGCGCCGTCGGTGGCACTGGAATACGGTACGCCGAGGCGTTTTGCAAAGGCGCAAAGCATTTTTAGATTTATGGGGTTATCGTCTACCAAGAGCAGACGGCGGAATCGGCATGTCGGGCTGCTTGTAAGCGGGGTAGGTGGTTGTGTTGGTAATGGTGCTTGTAGAGCAGGACTTGTGGCGGCGTCGGCTAGTGTCACACGCTGCAACGATAAGCTGCGGTGTGGAAGTACTTTGATTTGCGGGTCTGGCTCTAAATTTGTGTCGGCATGTTCTAATTGCTCTGTTGGCTCCATGTCAGGTCTGCTTCTGACTTCTATGGACGGCACCGAGTCTGCCATCTCCTTGTTAGTGGCATCCTTCATAGCCGAGATGAGTGCAGGTCCGAGCGAGTTTGCAGTAACTAGTACTGTGTGCATGGGCTTGCTAGTGCCAGATTCGGGAGGTGCGCCTTTGATATTGCGCAAGTCGACCATGACCGGGTAAGTCCCTCCCGTATACGTAGGGAACAAAGTTTTCAAGTCGTACGTGAGTCTCGAAGAGAGGGCATGGTGATCGATGAGGAGTACATCCAGAACCGGAAGTGTGTCTGTGGAAACAGTGGTGAACCTCATGCCGAAGCGATCCTCGCAGATATTTCGAACGGCCCGCTCCAGCGCTTCGGGAGGCGAATCGATAGAGGGTGCAAATTCTTTGCCTTGATCTTCGGGTCGAGAGAGACTGAGCATACCGATTGCCTTTCCGCTTAGGCATTCGTGAGAGGAAACGTTCTCGCCACGTGGCGCTTTTGGTCTCTGCGCCGTTTGACTAGCCGGAATGTTGATGATGATCTTCGTTCCCTTGCCCAAACGACTAGAGACTGATATAGTTCCGTGTAGTGACTCCACGATGCTCTTCACTAAGCTCAAACCTAGCCCAGTTCCTGGACTTAGTAGATTCTCCTGAGTAAAGGGTGTAAAGAGATGGTATTTGAGGAAATCCTCACTCATGCCTACACCCGTGTCGGTCACAGAAAGACTGATTTGTGACTGACTGTCATCGGCAGCCTCCAAAAATGCTAGACCTACGTGAATGTAGCCCGACTTGGTATACTTCAATGCGTTGCTGACGACATTAAGTAGAATCCGCTTCCAAGCACCCTCGTCAATGACAAAGGTCCAATCACGGGCCTTTTCAATGTGTGTGGTGACGACGACAGGCTCGGTTTGTGCCGTTGCGGGCGATCCAACCAACAAATCTTGACGCTCTTTATTAAGTCCAGAAGAGAGGCGCGAAGAATGGTCATGACCTACGGAAACAGTCCCAATAACGTCTTCGACCATAGAAGCCAAGTCGACAGCTACTGCACCGTGATGAACGTGGGTGGTGAAACGAGGATCTCCATTTCCGCCTCTTTGTCCAACGCTGGCGCGGCTATTCACTTTGGAATATTCCAACAGATGGTCAAATGTATCGAGAAGAGTGACCGCACAAGACTCAATCATGGAGATCTCCGACATCAAACCAGATCCCTGGCAGTTCTCTTGGATCAGCTCAATGCTGGCCAAGATGCCATGCAAGGGACTTCGTAACTCGTGACTGATGGTCGAAACGAAATCCGACTTGGAAAGTGTGTTTTCGCATGCTTCTAAGCGAAAGACCTCAGCCATCAGTGAGTTACCGAAAGCTGTCAATGAATTGACATCGCCAGTATCAAGTGTTTTGCCGGTGTCAGATACCCATGCTAGGCAGGTTGCGTAGCAAGCTTCTCTTGAGTAGTGAAACATAGGCAGGAATATTACGTAGCGGGTCTTTGGCAATAAACTGAAGAGGTCATTCCATCTGTCATCCGCACCAGAGTCAAGTTCGTCATCGCAATCGTGTTGGAAGACCCCATGTTCATCGACTGCGAAGACATGCCCTCGAGGGTACTTGGCAGTCAAGCGCTGGATGAGCGACTGACGCAATTTCAGCTGTCCGGGGGCGTTATCTCTGTGGTAATAGGACAGAGGTACCGCAAAGAGATCGCATGTTGGCGAAGATGTATTGTCAGGAGACATGTCTCGTACCTGGCAACCTTTGTTTCGGGCGCCAGTTGAAACAGTGTCAAAGAAGACTAGGCCATCCAGACCCATAGCATCGCCAATACTATCTGCGGCTCTCATGAAGAGAGTGTCGACTTGAGTAGCAAAGTCAGATTTGACCCGTTTCGAGACATTATCTTGGGGCGAAACGATAACAGATGTATCGCAAACAGGCAATGACTGGACATGGTCTGACGTGGTGACGCTTGGATTTGTACCGTCGGACAACTTCTTGTCAGGTTTTCTTCGCGAGGCGGCGCCAAAAACATCTAGGTCGAATTGGCTTGTGTGAGCTCCAGAGCGCACAGGGGCCACAGACCTTGGAACCATGTCATCTGAAGCTACAAAGCGGCGAAGACCTTGCATCATCTCAGCAGATCGAGACTTACAAGCTTCGGCGCGTCGCATATCGAGGTATGCACTGATAGCCGAGGTAGTTTCGCGAAGAGTGCTCAGAGACTTGGGATGCAGGAAGTCCCGTTCTTTAGTGTCAACAACACAGTAGCTGCCCAATATCTGCCCAGACATTGCAAACAGCGGTATCTCGAGGTATGAAACCATGTGCGGGTAGCCAGCCACGAACGGGCGCTCGGCAAATGTGGGAACCTGGCGAAAGTCTTTTATGCAGAAATACGACTTATCGGCAATGATATAGGGACTGTCCGGCATAGGCACTGGTTTGCCCTGGAAGATGCACATGGTGAATGGGCAGACGCCCCATTCGAGAGCGATTCGCGAAGTACCCAGCAAGAGCGGCTCGGCCGGGTCTGCACTCGAAAGCGACTGGTGCCTCGTCATCTCTGCGCATATGAATTGATTTCGATTATCAATGAGCGAAAGGAATGCGCGATCGCAGTCCATCTTGTGCACGCCATGCTGGACGAGGGCGTTGAGGGTTATGTCGCTGCTGGGGACTGGTTCGGACGGCGGTCCTTCTGGGATGTGGAAGGGGAACGACGCGGCAGAGAGATATCTAGGGCCGTGTTAGCAACAGGAATCGGCAATGTGACGTCGGCTGGCAATTCTCACGCGGCGATCTCGTATGCGCGTACCCGTTCGTGGTTATCGATAGCTGCGGGTGGCGTCGTGGTCGAGATGGGCGCGGTCGTAGCCATGGTCCATTACGTCACTCACATAGAATGAAGACTGCTGGTGCTGCGTGCGACGTTTGCGCGGGCCCCAGCAGTCTTCTGGGCTTTAGCAGGCAGTCTTGGCGTTAGTCAGCCAACACATAAACGGCCCGTAAAACCAAAGCTGCGATGCTCGAGCACGGCTTAATTTTCCGTCAAATTCATCGGATCGTGATGTCTCACAATAACGCTAGCCTAAAACGGGTTCCGCGGCTGCATAGGGCTAGACGCTCAGAGACGCGTATTCGTCGCACACTTCAGTCAACTTCCTTCTCGTCCCGGGCTCCATAACACTGTGCCCAGCGTCGTCGATGAAGTGCAATTTGCTCTCCGGCCACTGCTTGTACAACTCCCACGCTGTAACCGGCGGGCAGACAACATCGTACCTGCCCTGCACGATGGTCGTCGGAATGTTCCGGATCCGGTCCACGTTCTCCTTCCTCAACCTGCAGGACGAAGTCAGTAATTGTCTGCATTCCGTACAGCCAAGACTTACAGCTGCCCGTCTTCCATCCATGCTTTGTTGATGAAGTAGTGGATCTCCATCCTAGCATGTGCGAGCAGATAGGCTGGTTCTTTCAGTTTCTTGTACGCGTGTGGGTCAGGATACAGGGTGCTGATTGATAGCTCCCACGTGTTCCACGCCTCAGCCGCGGGATGACTGATAGACGAGTCCGAAGACATGAGGCGTTTGTGGTAGTTGCCGATATGATCGGAACGTTCTTCCTCTGGTAAAAACTTGATAAAGTCCTCCCAGCGGTCGGGAAACAGCATTTGCGCGCCGCCTGCATGGTTGGTCCACTTGAGTTCGATGTCTCGCACGGTGAAGATGCCGCGCAGGACTAGACTACCTACACTATCGGGGTGTGTTTGCGCATATGCTAGAGCGAGTGTGGATCCCCAGGAGCCACCAAAGACCATGTGCCATTTGGAAAACTTCAGATGCTTGCGCAGCTTTTCGATGTCTTCGACGAGATGCCAAGTAGTGTTGTCTGTTGTGTTGGCATTAGGGCGCGATTGACCACAGCCTCGCTGGTCGAGCAGAACCACTCGGTATTCAGAGGGGTTGAAGAAGACGGTGTTGGTTTTGGAGCAGTTCCCGCCAGGACCGCCATGGAGGTAGATGACTGCAAAGCGTTAACTATCAGGAAAGTTGGACAACATGGCTGGCACTTTTACCAGGCTTTCCGTCCTTCTTGCCGAACTGTTGATAGTAAAGTTCATGGGTGTCATCCACACGCAGCCAATTCACGTCCCAGGCATCTTCATGCTCGTAGCTGGTGAACTGGAGTGTTTGAGCCATCATGCCCTGGTGGTAGATAGAAAATTTGCGGCGAGATAAGAAGATGGAAAAGCTTTTGTAGTCGACATGTATGCAAGACAGTCATACAGGTAGTGATGGAGTCAGACACCTAGGTACGACTACCCCGCTTTCAGTATAGTGGCCCCGCTGCTTCAAGAACACCTTCCTATTCTGCTTCCAGGATGCGACTGACTAACGGCAGCAAGCGTGCGAAAGATGCGATTGACAAGATGGTATTTAAAATACACATTATTGTATGTACTAGATAATAATGACGTTGGCGACAAGGACCTAATACTTAAAGCCACCTGCCCTGGTGCTCCACAAGCCCTTCGGGTCAACACTCTTCTGCAATGCCTTAAACTTGTTGTAATCCTTGTAGCTCTGGAAAACTGGCTGGTCCCACATGGCATCGTTGATGAACAATGGCATGTACATGTCGCTTGGCATACCCGCTTCTGCTATCCATTGAGGCACGACCTTGTCCAACCAAGCCGTCAATTCCCTGGCGATGCCAAACGCAAGAGCGTCGTCGGTGGGCAAGTTCCACGCTCCTTGGTAAATTAAGATGATGCGGTCAGGGTCAGAGGACGAAAGTCCCATGGCATTTCCGCCCTTGGACTCGGACATCTTTCCAAAGCGGGATGGAAGAGGTTGGAAGTCAACGCTGAACTGGATAGCGCGAACGACAGGTAGGGTGTTGAGGAAGATACCAGTGAGTTCAGCAAGCTTGTCGCGAATCTCCTTGTACATCTGAGGCCGGGATGCAATATATGGGACAGTGTAAGTACGGAAGAATGCGCGGGCGTTCAAGAGTCGGACTGGCTCGCCGTTTGCCTTCAGCTGAGAATTGTTAGTGCTTGTACGGCACATTGAAGTTAGATTATAGACTTACTAGCTCAGAGTACTTTTGTGTCTTGGGTAGACACAAAGGGTTGACGATCTTGAAGAAATCGGCAAATGGACCCGATGTAGGTGGCTTAGGGTTGTCGTAAAAGGAAAAGAGAATTTTCGTCTTGATTCCAGCTGCGACTACGAGGTCCGTAAGAATGATGGCCGCCTTGGGGTCTTCGGCACCGTGTGCCATGAAGTTGTGCAAAGCAGCGTATAGTGCGTCGGATTTTGAGTCGTCGAAGACACATGAGCCACCCCAGACGTCGCCCATGTGATGAACTTTAGTCTTGAACTGGGTGACAATACCGAACTGGCTACCGGAACCACGCATAGCTTGCGCAAGGTCGGGATGCTTTGCGGCGTTGACGTTGACGACAGACCCGTTCGCCATAACAGTCTCCCATTCGATGATGTTCTATCGCTTGTTAGCATAGCTTCCCTTTGCATATAGCGGAAAACTGACATCGGCTGCAAGACCCTCTTGAGCACCGAGGAATGAAAGACCTCCACCCAGCAGCAGACCCGCGACACCGACGAGACCGAGTCGTCCTCCAGCGATTGCCACGCCGCTCTTCTCAAGGTCGCCAATGACGTCGTTCCATTCGCCTCCCGGTCGGACGTATGCAACATCTTCTGCTGCGTCGTACGTCGCTCCGACTAGATTGGTCATGGCGATGAGAACACCGTCTTGGACCGCAGCATGTTGCTTGTTTGGATCGTGACCTCCGCTGCGTGTAGCAAGCTTGACAGTCGGGTACTTGTTCAAGATCTTGATAGCAATGGACACATCTTGGGCAGAGTCTGGTTGAACGATGCATGCAGGATCGACTTCGCGGAGATTGGTAGCCCAGTATTGCTGCGTCTCATGTGCGTATTCGAGCTTGAGAAGTCCCGGAGTGAGGACTTTTCCTGGAAGAGCATTGTTGATTTCGTTACACGCTTTGGTAGTGGCCTCTGTGGGAATAGCAAAGGCGGATTGGGCTCCTAACAGGAGAGTCGCAAGAGCGAGAGAAGTGAACTTGTCCATGTCTGGAAGTGAATGAGTGTAAGGAACGAGCGAAAGATGGACGAAAGCGCAGAAGAACGAACGCAGCCTACAGATCACCTCTTGATGAGCGATGTGCCTTAAGTACTACAATGTGGGCTTCTTCGACGTTAGGTTTAGCTGTCCCCGGTCTTGGTTCCGGACGCCATGGCAGCCATGCAGAGAGCAGCACATGTACACAAGCTGGGGAGAACCATGGCTAGGGCAGGTCGCGTGGAAGAATCGTAAAATACGGCAAACCCCCTCCAATGGCGACGCATGAAATAAGGAATTGAGTGCAGATCATGTGAGAGTCCCTGCGAAGCTTACGGCAATGGGCCCGACATTTGAGGGGAATCGACGCACACCGTCGTAAAACTATATGGTTTGCTGGAATGGGTATTTAGCCTGGATAGGATAAGGCGAGCCCAGTATTGGAAACGGTACTTGAGTGCCGAATTGCAGGACTGGCATTCTCGGAACCCGAAGGTTTGTCAGACAAGCAGTGCGTATAATTGTCATCGACGGTCATGGTGGGGTGCGCTGATGGTTGGACCGAGTCCGAGTCCGATCTCAGGGGAAAAACACGTCTGTGGCATTAAACTTCTGGGCCATGCGAAACGAGAGTCACGCACAGATACGCTAGAGAAGTATATGTATGTCGCTGGTAATCACGATAATTGCTGAAGCGCGAGTGGTGGTGAAGCCGGGTGCAGGCGGATGCAACAATGGTGATGATGCGAGCAGGACACGAAGAGGCTGCATGCACGGCTGTGACGGGCTGGCTGAAGGTGGACGTCGTCGTATCACGTCAACGTTGCATGGAGTCGTGGCGGAAGGATCGGAACGCGTGGGTCCGTGCTTGTTCGGTTGCTCCTTCTACCTCCTACCTGGGCATCGGAACCCAGGGATAAACAAACAGTGGCCGACAAGCTCACAACGCCGCCACATCCGACGACGCCGCCGGTAGCCGACCACGACGGCTGCACTCACCATGGACTCGTACAATCTCAAGACGGCGTCGACGTACATCAACAACCTGCTGCTTGCGCGGGGGCTGTTGCGCAATGGCACGCCCATTGAGTTTGCGCATCCGTCGAGGGGAGAAGGGGGGAAAGAGGCCACCATGGCCCAGATCATCAACCTGGTGCACGACCTGATATTGAAGCGCGATGTAGGCACATGCACGTTTACGTTCTGGTGGAGAGGGTCCTAATGAGCAGATAGCGCGACCAGGAATACCGCGAATCCAGCGCCGACACGCTGCGAAGCCTGCGCGCCGAGTCGACGCGCCAGACGGCCGCCCTCGAGAAGCAGCACAACCGCAATGCCGACCTATCGCGACAGCTCTCGCTCGCCCAGGCGCAAGAGCAGTCGGCGCGCAAAGCCCTGCACACGGCCGAGTCGTCGGCGCGGAAGCTGCGCGCCGAGATGCAGCGCCTCAAGACGACGGTCGACCAAGTGCGCACCAGCTGCACCAACGACGTGCGCAAGCGCGACAAGGAGATTGCACGCCTCAAGAGCCACCTGACGAGCCAGCAGCGCGGCAACAAGACGGGCCTCGTCGGCGCAAGCATCACCATCAACCCCGGCAGCACGGGCTTGGGCGCCGCTACTGGCCATGCGCGCGACGAATCGCCCAATGTCGACGACCCCGAATACAGCCTGAAGCAGGAGACGACCGAGTTCTTGACCCAGCTGAGCCAGAGCTTGAGCGACGAGAACGACAACCTCATCGGCCTCGTGCGGAGCGCCCTGGTGACGCTGCGAGAGCTACAAGGCATGCCCGAAGTCAATCGCAAACAAGACGCAGACGACGCCTCGGTCGCGGGCGACGAGCAAGACGACACGCAACAGGACATGCTGCACACGCTGCCTACCGACTACGAGACTCTCGCCGACGACATGGACACGGTCTTGGACAACCTGAAGAACCTCCTCACAAATCCAAACTTTGTAGCAGTGGACGAGGTCGAGATGCGCGAGGAGGAGATACACAGGCTGCGCGCGGGCTGGGAGAAGATGGAGGCGCGGCTGCGCGAGTCGTTCCTCCTCATGGACTCCTGGCGAAAGCGCATGACCAATGGCGACACCATCAATCTCGAGGAGCTTAGGATGGGACTAGGATTTGGCGAAGGGTTCGAGACGGTCGACAGGGAAGGATTCTCCGTGATTGACGAAGAAAGCGAGGCCGAGGAAGCTGCAAGCTCAGCCTTGGAAGAAGACGTGGACAATACAGAAGAGCAAGACGAGGCCGTCTACCTGCCCTCACCCAATCCACACGCGAGACCAGACAAGACAACTGGGCCCGATGTCTTCAGCATCAAGTTGCAACCCAGCCAGCCAGCGTTGAGGGAGACCAACGGCAACAAGTCGCCCAGTCGATCGCCCCGCAAAGTCGCCTTCTCAGCGTCCATACCGAATACACCGTCTCAGGTGGACGGAGAGAACGCAGACACGTCTGGGATAGATCTAGTCGATGCGGAGAAGGCTAGTCGGCCAACCTCTGCAGCCAAACCACCTCGTTCTGAAGAACGAGCGTCAAGACCAACGAGTCAAGACAGACCACGCCATGTACGTTGTGACATCTTTCCCTCTACGTCCACTCTCTCCACAATCTCCAGCCCAGCAGCACCACACCCATCCCTCAACAGATCTGACAATCTACGACAGACCAAGAAGCGCTTGTCGAGCCCACGTGCCCATCCCGACGAGCGATCGCCAAAGCTATCGGTCCAAGACAAGTTACGAGAGGCCGCGGAAGCAGCCGCTGTAACCGACGGAGACATCTCCACCAAGAAGACAGACGAAAGCACCGAAGTGTCCGAGGAAAACCCTAAGAAGCGGGCACCTAGATCTCCCGTCAAGACACGAATCAGTGGGAGGCCAAAGAGGAGAAAAAGCACCTTGACGCCAGAGGAGCTGGCAAATCTTCTAGGCTGCTAGACCAGGTTGGAGCATGTGCGATCCTCACGATGGCACCGTAAACTAGGACTTAATAGCGACTCGAGGCTGCATCGGCGGCTGGTCATGCAAGATCATGCCATCAACTGGCTTCCAGTTATATGCGAGGCTTGCATGTTGAGGAGTCGGTCGGTGGAGTGAATGATGGGCGTGACCCACGCTCTCCTCTATTGGGTAGGTCATAGATGCCAGTGCGTTTGTGGCCCTTATGCACTGGGTAACGGCGCGTATCCTGAGGCCCTCCTCGGCTGGACCATCAGGTCCCGCCAGGCCCACTCACGAGCTCGCACAGGTTCAGTCAATGCGCGACTGTGAACGGTCTTGATTTTGAAGGACGTCCATGAGAAATGACCTACCTCATCGTGCGAATGGGCCATGGCACAGCAGCAACACAGCGTCTCCCCTGCTTCTTGTGTGCCCAAGGGGCTGCGTATCCGACGCAGTGACATGCCTTGGTGGAAGTGCTCATAGTCGGGCATCGATAATGTTATCGTCCTCGGTCGCTTCGCGTACCTGAATCCTCCCGCCCGCCCGTCATTCCTCCTGACAACTCTGCACTCGTTCAATCTCTAGTCTTCACATGCACCTCTGCACATCATCACGAGAGACACCGGTTTTCCTCCACATGGCGCACATTGTGACCGCAGTGTGGCCGTAGAAATCGCTCGCTCCGCCTCCAGCATTCCTGAGGTTGGTGATGTGGTGTTGTGGTTGGACGGCGTTGCAAGCCACTAAGTTTATTAGCCGCCCATTGTCCTCATTCGGGACATTAGGTGATGGATGATATGAGCACAGCTCCAGTGATTGGGCAGAGGCCGAGAAGCGGATGCAGAATGGCTGTAAATAGGTCTCTATGCGGCAGGGAGGATAGCTGCAGCGCGATCAAGGTAGCAGCCTTGGAAAGCAAATTTCTCTGCATCTGTCGTCAGCCCTCGAGCCACAGTTCCCCCGTCGAAAATGCACTGTTATGCAGTGTGACAGGCGATTATCTGCACCTTGCACATCCCGGCATCACATGGCTCACCTGTTCTCTGCTGCTCATTGGTGTGGTGTTTTCACCCCAAGCCCGTGCGCTACGTGACGGCCCACTTATGTATTCCCCGCCCGCGTTGGCGAATGAGGGCGCAGAAGCAAGACGCCCGGCTACACACGTCAAGCCCGCCCACCACTCCCGCTTCACCATCAAGCGCTCGCCGTACATTCGATAGACTGCTCTCCACACCCGCTACCAGCTTACACCCTGCGAACATGGCGTGTCTACGCAGCGCAGGTAATCAATCGCTACCGGGTGCAGCGAGACCTGGCCCATAGTTGGCGTAGTGCAATGTGCCGGCCTGCCAGCCCCTCGCTAACGCCCAATGGTCGCTCAGCAGCTGTGCGATGCTGTGTCTATAGATAAGTAGGCCTGGCGCCGCTCACATCTCGTCTTTTTTTCTTCAGCAAGTGTGTCAAGTTCAGAGCTGTTGTGTTCGTCTTTTGTCTATTCTTTTTACCCCTCCCCTTCTCCCCCTCTACTCTCCAGGCCTGGTGCCATTTAATTCCCACTACCTCACCGTCGACCTTTATACCCACCCTTTTACAATAATCCAATTCTTTGTGGCCGGTCCACTTTCACGTAATACACAGTTCTACTTGCTCGAAACGAAATTTCAAACTCACAACGACAACGCAATACTCGCAAACCTTTACGAAACTCTCAACACACAGCTTCTTCAGCAATCTTGACGTCTATCCATTAGTTTGGCATCGGACGAATTCGAAAGAAACGATTACATCATAATACCAATCTTTACAACAGAAAGAACGAAACAACATCGCAATGGCCGCTATCCAGCTTAACTTCACTCTCCGCACTTCCTCCAACTGCAAGACCGTGCACTTGCTCGGCTCCTGGGACGGCTACCAGGGTCAGCTCCCGCTCTCCAAGGACCCCAAGAAGTCCGGAGGCTGGGTCGGATGCTTCAAGTTCCAAGGACAGACCTTGAAGCAGGGACAGCGCTACTGGTACTACGTATGTCTCTTCTCTAACACTACATGGTGAACTAGAAGCTAACATTTGCCCAGTACATCATCGACGGCTACCACGTCTCGCACGACCCCGCTAAGGACCACACCACCGAACCCACCACTGGCCGCAAGCTTAACATCATCGACATCCCCGCTGCCAAGTCGAGCTCCAAGACAACCACCTCCAGCTCAGACCGCAAGTCCCGCCGCGTCTCGACCGCCACCATCCCCAAGGGCCGTGGCCTCAGCCCAGAGCGCATCGTCGCGCCCAAGCCCCAGCGCCCACACGAGACCCGCCAGGTCATCAACACCCAGTACGACAAGACCACTCTTGAGGATCTCAACCGCCGCTTTGCCAAGCAGCAAATCGAGGAGTCGTCCGACGACTCAGACTACGACTCCGACGAGGGCTCCGACGTTCCCTCGCTCACCAGCCGCTCCACCAACAGCTCCAGCCCGTCCAGTGTCAGCTCTGGTAGCTCATGCTGCACATGCGAACGCTACGGAATCACCCGCGCTGGTGACCGCGTCAAGCTCGACTGCGGTGGTGCTCGCTGCGGATACTCTGATGACTCATCTGACTGCTCCTCCGAGGACGAGTACGTGTACGAGGAGAAGACCACCCGCCGCCAGGGTGTCGTCATCCGCTCCTAAGTGCCTCACTACCTTCCTGGATACCATTGTTCCGTCATCGACACCTGCATCCTTGCATCTTCTATCGCAATGTGCCGATGCGCCTTTTCAACCTCTTTCTTCTGTGCATATTATGATTACGAATCTTCTTTCTTATCTTGTTCTATCAACTACGACCGGCCTCATGTTCAGAGGCTGGCTTCCGCTCTTTGGGATATTATGACGGGTATTATTGCTGCTGGTATGGGAGCTGCCCATGGGTTTTATGCTGGGGGGAAACGAGGCAACTGCCTGCACCTTACGACAATGGCTTAACAAGCCACCCAGAGAACACGCTAGATGTTCTCATCGTGCCAATGCACGCTCATGTAGTCTATAGTTTACTAAATCTACGGATCCGCATGCGCTCGTGCGCGGAAAGATACATCGCTTTTCAAATATGCACCCTGAGTGACTTCGAGGCATTGTAAGCGGCAGGGTGCATCGTGGCCTCGTCAGGCCCAGCTGTCGCAGCTTCCCCACGTTCGTTGAGGGGTAACTGCCTAGCTCAACAGGTTCAGGCCACCGTTCTGACGCGACACCATCATCTTCATTGCCTCTCTCGGCCCGCTCTATTACCAACACAACAACGCCACCTCTTTGGAACCCACCTACCCCATCGGTCTTGCCATTTCTAAGACCCCTCGTCTGGAACCTGATCTTCGCCCTTGAGCACAACATTATGGAAGCCACTGCTAACGACGCCGATTGTCAAAAACGTCAGTTGAATGGGATTCGCCTAAACACAAAAGGCGTGGATACTGAAGGCTTTTTTTCGATGGGACGACGCTTCAACTTTTCTCCATGAGCCCTGTCCAAAATGCGACAATACGGAGCTGGATCCCTCGTTACGCTTGTGCGAGGCCTGTCGTCACTTCCGTATCTGGCATCTGCTCACCTGCCGTGGCCAAATGGAATGGCATGGCCTCCTCAAACACTGTCACAAAAGCCAGAGGCATTGCGATTTCTGCCATTCCATCATCTCAGCGGCGCAGGACTCTAGTAGAGGATATGGAGGAACATTGGACCTCCAAGATGCCGACAGCGTCAAATTCGCGATTCGTAGTGACAGTGGCGACGGACTCGTACGCTGCATTCTCTACAAGTTATCCGCCATCATCAATGGCAAAGAAGAGCCTTTTGCGGGCGACCACGAGTATATTGTAGACACCATAGACCGACCTGTTGATCGTGCCTTTTTCGATGCAGGGGTGTCATCATCCTCTGTGCTAGAGAAAAACACCAAAGCATCAATGTCGCATCTCCATCCTTATATTAATTGGAGCCAACACCGGACTTGGTTCGGAAGCCTACCATTACTGAGATCATCGGAGGAGAAGCCCGGAGGACTGTTCTTACGACAAGCACTCCAAGACGTTCGCGTGGTAGATGTTGTGGATGCGTGCATCGTACATTTACCTCGAGAAGCCGAGTACGTTGCCCTGTCGTATGTATGGGGACCAGACTCCGCCAAAGACTTTCGGACCTTGCGCACCAATTTGCGCGACCTTGAAACCCCCGGTAGCCTGGATAAGATTGACCTGCCCTCGACAATATCAGATGCTATCACAGTATGCAGACAGCTAAAACGTCGATTCCTATGGATAGACCGACTTTGCATTATACAAGACGAACTGTACGCGGAAGCAATTCAGTTAGAACAGATGGCAAGTCTATACCACCAAGCAGCCTTGACAATTGTTGCAGCTGCAGGTTCCAATGCAGCATATGGGTTGCTGGGAGTGAGCCGCGCGAGGGAAGAGCAAAAACAGCTGAAGTTTCATAGTCGCCTCCAACTGGTAAAGCCCGCACCAGATCTCAAACAAGTCTTACGCAAGACTACATGGAGCAGTCGTGCTTGGACATTTCAGGAGTACCTGTCGTCAACGACCATGATGTTCTTCACCGAACATGGACTTTACGTTGGTCACAGATCGGAACCGGGCTCGATCGATGTATACACCGAAGCACCCGCGGTACACCAATCCACATATGATCGACTACACAATCCGTTCGACGCATGTGAAACATACACGTCCAAGTCGCTTACGCACTCATCGGATAGACTGCGCGGTTTTTCGGGAATACTGTATGCGACCCATGGTAATAGGACAACGTACGGAGTGCCCATTGACGACTTCGATCGCAGTGTTCTGTGGCGACGACGAGGATCGAAAATTGAACCAAGAACCCAGGAACAAGAGAATACCATACCCACATGGTCTTGGACATCGGTTGGAGGAACCATAGAGTTTTACCAGAAGTACTGTTATTCGTATAGCCTTGCTTACTGGGGCAGGTTC